TTCACTGTTTTTTCGTAAGCTTCAATAATGATCCTGCTATTACGAGCTTTCCTTTTAGTGATCAAAGATTATATAACCCACTTTTCAGCTCAAATCCAGGTAAACTTCATGGTATTTTAATATTTTGAGAGAAAACTTTGGAAAATTCCAAATATTAAATCAAAATTTTGTATCATTGTCTCAACATGATGCCAATTAAAAAACAATTGGAGCTCAAATTGAAACACTTTATGTAAAAATAAAATCAATAAGATCAGAAGCAACAAAAAATTAACAAAAACTATGAGGTTTCTGCATTTTTTTTGAGAGAAAACTGTCTTATTTTGAGAGAAAACTGTGGAAAATATCAAATTTTTATTCAAAATTTTGTATCATTGTCTCAACATGATGCCAAATAAAATACAATTTGAGCTAAAACTTAAAAACTGTAAGTGAAAAGATATTTTTTTAAAAATCAGAAGCAACAAAAAGTTAACCAAAACAATGAGATTTCTGCAATTTTTTTCCAAATACTTTTGAATTTTTGAAACTTTCCCCAAAAATTTGAAGTTTTTTAAAGTTTCAGTAGGTTTGAAGCCATTATGAGCTTTCCCATTGTTATTCAGAACTGTATAAAAACTGCTTTCGAGCTCATATTAGGGTAAATTTTATCATATTTTAATGTTTTGAGTGAAATTTGTGGAAAATCCATATTTTTGCGATTTTCAAAAAAAAATGAAATTTTAGCTTTTTTTTCCAAAAACATTGATTTTTTTACAAAGTTTCAGTAGTTTTAAGCACATTTTCATGTAGATGTTTTTAAAAAAAAGTTATCTAAGAAATTAGTTAAAAGGGCGAATTATAACAGCTCTTACCGTGTTTTTTGAATTATTTTCGAAAAACTTTGAAAAAAAAACTTCAATTTTTGCACAAAACTCTTACCATTGACTTAGCATGAACAAACAAATTATATAAAATACCTTTCATTCTTCATCTACACGTAAATAACCAGTGATATTTAACAATGAGATAACGCGCGCCGAAATTTTTGCGGAAAAACTAGACATTTTCACACAAAAACCAAAAAAAAATTTCGTTTTTCTTTCTCTTACAATCACACTGAAACACTGAAAAAAGCAAAAAAAAAAATATCGTGATCTGTCTAAGAGTCTGTATTGCGTTCATCGTTTCTTAAAAAAAGGTGTATTATTTAAAGTCAATCTAGGTATCTTTTTTTTGCGCCGTAGTAAAAAAAAGGATAACTTTTCTATACATCGGCTTGAAAGAAACTGGCTCTGAATTACTCTTGGTATTCGATTTCTTTTCGGCTGCCGTAAGACGCCAGTAGTATGAAGTCAGACAACGGTAACATTTAATTGGGTTTGGTAAAAGGATTTCCGTACTGCGTGGAAAATTTGAGGCTGTTGCATCGGTACTACAAAATGGCAAAAAACTGTAAGCAACGTGGATCTAGCAACATTTTTTTGTCGAATAACTTCTGTTGGTACCAATGGGAATGAAATGGAAAAATTTGCAGATAAAATTATCCTCCTAAGAGAACGCTGGCTTAGTTTTCCCATTTCTAACCCTTGAAGTTTGACCATGAAAAGCTTTACATGAGAGCATAGGCTTACAAAAATGACATTTGGCATCACTGGCAGACTGCGTTTGTCCATTTCGTGAATACTCCTCGTAGCCTGACCCAGACTCTGTTTTAGATTTGAAGTTTTTTGAAGTTTCGGGAGATTTGAAGCCATTATGAGCTTTCCATTTGAGTTTCAGAACTTTAAAAAAACTGCTTTCGAGCTCATCTTAGGGTAAATTTTATCATATTTTAATGTTTTGAGTGAAAATTGTGGAAAATCCATATTTTTGCAATTTTAAAAAAATGAAATTTTTGCATTTTTTCCAAAAACATTGATTTTTTACGAAGTTTCAGTAGTTTTAAGCACATTTTTAGGTAGATGTTTAAAAAAAAAGATTATCTCAGAAATAACAGATCTTATCGTGTTTTTTGAATTTTTTTCGAAAAAACTTTGAAAAAAAACCTCAATTTTTGCACACAAAACTCTTACCATTGACTTAGCATGAACAAACAAAATATATAAAATACCTTTCATTCTACAGTCTACACGTAACTAACCATTGATATTTAACAATTAGATAACACGCGCCGAAATTTTTGCGGAAAAACTAAACATTTCCACACAAAAACCAAAAAAAATAAAAAAATCGTTTTTCTTTCTCTTCCAACCACACTGAAACACTGAAAAAAAGCAAAAAAAAAATATCGTGATTTATATAAGAGTCTGTACTGCGCTCATCGTTTCTTAACGTCTTTTGTGAGCTTTAAATTTTGGCTGTTCGATAGTGGAAATTGTCTGCATTTTCACAAACTTAATGAACTGAGCATTGCTGAAATCAAAAATCAAATTGCGAAAAATTAAAGTTGAGTCTGAACAAGTTTTAAGACTCTTCCTGAAAAAAGCGGGAAAAAAATTAATGCGAGCTACATAAGGGTCTGTACTACTTACATCGACTCCTAAAAACAGATGTATTGCTTAAAGCCATTCTCAGTGTCGTTTCGGCGCCGTAGTAAAAAAAGGCTATTTTTTCTATACACCCGGATGAAAGAAACTGGCCCTGAATTACTCTTGATAATTGAAAAATTTTTCGGCTGCCGTAAGATGCCAGGTAGTATGAAGTCAGACAATGGTAACAATTAACTGGGTTTGGTAAAAGGATTTCCGTACTGCGTGAAAAATTTCAGGCTCAGTTGCATCGGTACTACAAAATGGCGAAAAACTGTAAGCTACTTTTTTTAATGGATCTAGCAAAAATTTTTAGTCGAATAACTTCTGTTGATACCGATGAGAATGAACTGGAAAAGTTTGCAGATAATAGTATCCTTCTAAGAGAACGCTAGCTTAGTTTTCCCATTTCTAACCCTTGAAGTTTGACCATGAAAAGCTATACATGAGAGCATAGGCTTACAAAAATGTCATTTGGCATCACCGGCAGACTGCGTTTGTCCATTTCGTGAATACGCCTCGTAGTCTGACCCAGACCATGTTTTATGGGCTGGTGATCTTGTTTGGGTTATCTCACCAGGCATGGCATGCAACATTTAATGAGTAGAGAAAATTTGTTACATTACGATAAAGATAACGACCTTTCTCCTCAGCATTTCAGACCTTATCAGGCCATTTATTTCGGCTTCTCTTAATTTTTTAGGTTTTGCTTCTTTGGTGGGGGAGGGGGCAATTGCTAGACGCCAAAAAAAAGAAAACAAGGTTGATCGTGAAAAATAACCGCACGTTTAGAATTAAATTGGGCGTGTTTCTGTCCATGTTAAGCAGCAGTCGAGAATTAAATGTTTACCAATTTGCACTAAAAAGCGGTTTCGAACCTTGTTTTTTCATGTGCCTAATTGGCACGGTAGTTTTTGATAAAAAGTCAAGCTGTCACTATTTCGAAAAACGAGCTTCTGTAGGTCCAAAATTTCCTTTAAAAATTTTAAGACCTAGTCGTTTAAACAACCAAATTCATAGCTGCCCATCCTTTGATTGAAATCCTTATCTCAGATTCAGCAAAACAATTTTTCAGAAAAATCCAAGTTTCTAAAAAATCAGCAAAACTTCGAAAATGGCACAAAATGGCACGTAAAACACTTTCAAAAGTTACGGCAACATACCTGATAATATCTGCTCAGATAGTTTTTCGATTGAACTCTTAATAACAGATTTGACAGTGTAGTTTTTGAAAAAACTCAAATAGTTTCCAAACACCGATGGAAAGAGGATAAACGCTGATTAATTTTTCCTAAATTTTAACGAAAAAAAATTCCGTCCGGTGATTTTGAAATTATCTTGGAACTCTACAACAAAAAATTAAAGAGTATACCACAGTTGTGAATGCCAGCAGGCGCAGATCTAGGAATTTCTCGAGGAGGGGCGTAATTTCAAAAAAAAATTGAAAATTTTGTCGACCTTTTTTTTTGAAAAACAGGCCAAAAATAGCGTTTTTAAGCACTTTTGGAAATTTTAGACTAAAAAATCGCGACTAGCGGAATATAAGGCACACAGAGGAGAAGCCGGGTTTTTCATCGGCCTTTCAACCTATTTTGCGAAAAGAATTGGTGCAACCAAAGTAGCACCAACGTTGGCGACTAAGCTTGGAAAAAAACTTGGATTTCCTATGAAGATTCTATGCTTCGCTGGTGTTAACATTTTTTATAAAAATCAGCAGCACCACGTTTAAGCACGGCGTTACCAAAACCCTGATGGCAAAAACACGGATTGATAAAACACAAGGAAAAACAACCCGCATTTAACCTCTTCCTATGAAAAGAGGTTAAGTGCTAGTTAATTTTTATGCCGAGTGATATAAAATTAATCTTAGAACACAACAAAAAAATCAAAAAAAGCATTGTTGTGAAAGCCACAATATTGACTCGTCAGTCTGGCTTCTAATTCCGCAAACATTAGGAAAAAAACACAGATTGGCCTCATAAATAGAGTTTTCATGTAGTCATTGATTTTTTATACAGGTAGTTCAGATAGTTAGAAGTCTCTCATAAATATCTTACGCAAAAATTATTTTTATCCCGTGTTGATCTGGTCGTACATTTTTCATACTGTTTCTTAAATTAGCTTTAAAAATTTTTACATTCGTTTTTTGCAATGTTCAATGCATTTGGTCTTAATGGTCTTTCCAGAAAAAATCTATTTTTTCTGAAAAATTTTTCATCAAACGTGGTTAAGTGACTCTGATTTAATTTGAATGAACTTGTTAGAAGCTTTAAACATGTTCCTTCAAGAAATTGTGTTTTTTTTGCAGGGGTCAGAGATAACGCGCCTTATAAGTTTCAGTTTTTTGGAAGATTTTCCACAAAGTATTGCGGTAGCCAACTAAAACAAAATTTGCTTTCGAAAATTTTGAAATCATAAACTCGTTGGTTTTTTTATAAGGCTGAATGCCCGCTCAAAAATATCACTTGCAAACTATTCATGTCATCAAACCTGTATGTTCATCCGCTGTTGATATTTGAGACACTGATGACCGGCTAGTGCTGATTATACTCCATGTGTCAAGGAGGACGTCGTCATTCCAATTTTGGAATTCAATGCCTGGAATACACCATTCAAATCAATAGCATTTTGTATTTTGATGCTTTAGTGATCTTTTTTCATTTTTTACAACATAAGTTGCTTGCAAGAAAAGAACAAAATTGAGAATTTTTCAGAAGACAGCTAATCAAACATTCACACAGAGGCGAATCTAAGCTTAGCATCACTTGTGATACAAAACAAGAAAGCCGCTAAGTCGAAAAAAAATTTATTCCTTAAACGTTAAACGTCTAAAAAAACCTTAAACGTCCAAAAAATAAATCTATACAAATGCATAGCTAGTTTTGAACGAAAATCCTAATAAGGTAAAAGAATGTGATAATAGCATCGTAAAAAATTAACAATTTTTTAAAAAGTCAAAACTACCTTAGTAGGAACCGTTTAAGCCGAAAAAAAACGAGACTTGAGACTTATAAGTCATGATAAAAAGATCTATATTTTATATCAAGATTTAAACAAATTGTGCGATCCAGGGGCGAGCAGGAAAACTACGTTTGACTAGAAAACAATCAAAGTTATGTCAATAAGCCGATAAAATTTAAGTCGAAATCATAAAGACAAAAAAAAAGAAAAAAAAGAAATTTCAACAGCAGAAATAAATCAAAACACTGAGAACAAATACAATGAAAATTGTGCATAGCAAAAAAAAACAATTGTACCATGTGGCAACTGAGCCATCAAAACATAAGCAGACAGATAATAAGCCGAAAACTTACACAGAACACTATATTTTATATCAAGATTTTAGCAAATTGTGCGATACAGAGGCGGGCAGGAAAACTACGTTTAACTAGAAAACAATCAAAATTAGGTCAATAAGCCGATAAAATTTAGGTCGAAATCATAAAGACAAAAAAAAGAAAATATACAAGTCAAGAAACTTCAAACAGCAGAAATAAATCAAAACACTGAGAACAAATACAATAAAAAATGCGCATAGCAAAAAAAACAATTATACGACGTGGCAACTGAGCCAACAACACATCAGACAGATAATAAGCCGAATTTTTTTGTTGAAATGGAATATTTCCCGTTTGAAAAACAAAACAGATCCTGGTCAGATTCGATTCCTGAATTTCCTACCAAGCAAATTCGTTGCCTCTAGGCTAAAAGTACCGGGAATGGTACAAACTTGAATAACTTACACAGAGGTGAGAACACGACAAAAACTGCTCTAGAAAGTGCAATAAGAAAAAGTAGAAATACATCTCGAAAAAGCAACAACTCGGCTATGTCTTGGATTCGATCTGAGACGTACTGCTATCAACACATTTTGAGGCTCTGGCACTATCCATTCCTCTACGCAAGCCTAACCACCGATAAACAGAAATCACGAAAAAAGCAGCTACATATGCTAATAACTTGCCCTTTCCATTCAGTAAAAATGGCACCAATTACAAATAGACTCTCTTTTGCAAGTAGTAATTTGGAATATAACAAATTGAAGGGATCCACTCTAACTTTGCCTGCGACAAACTGCAACGAATAAATCCACATAATGTAAGTTAGGCATTTCAAAAAACTGTGCTTCCAAAAAATTGAGGTATATTGAGATAGAAAATTTCTGAAATCGAATTTTAATTAATGGTATCTTCTTTGAAACAAATAGCTTTTTTCGACTCATTTGATGAACGAAAAACGCATTAATTGTTTACTTATTACGATTCGAATGTCAAGAGTGCTATCAAAAAGCTCTAAAGTAGCCCCAAAAGTGGCGTCAAAGTTTGCTGCTTAGGTTGGAAAAAAGGTTCTTAATAGTACAATAGGCTAGCGTAATGAAGCAAGGTTCCACCCGGAAAACGCCCGAAAAACTTATTGGAAATTCGTTTGTACTCACTTTTTGCCGTTCCTGAGAGAACCCGGTCTTCATTCTTGATACCAAGCAGACTGAGGTTTACGGACTCCAGTTGCAAGTTAACCCGGTCGAAAACCATTTGAAATTCAATACTCAATTTCTTGAGTGACATTTCAAAAGCCAGTTTCGACATTTCGTATTCATGAAGTGTTTTAGACTTTGTCACTTTTTTCTGTTTCTCGGCCAATTTGAAACTTTTTTCAATAACGTTCCGAATAGATTTTCGCAAGTCCAATAACTTGCTGCACTCCTGTTTAAAAGTTTGAATTCGGTCCAGTTTATCATATTCTTGATCTGGCACTTTATACGGCTCCACAGTGTGTTTTGAAAAGTCGCTGTGGTCTTTGTTCATGCAGTCAATGCATATGTTGACGTTGCAGTTTTTCCCACTGCAAAAGAACTTCAGGTTTCTTTTTGGGTGTTTTGAGCACTTCCTCAGATGTTTTTTGTTTTCACCGTCCGCTGCGTCTTCACTTGATACTGAAAGAATTTATCTGAATTATCTGTTGTAGTCTCCTTTTCGTCCTATCAAAACTCAAATGACAAAACAAGACAGGAAAGTTTTGAGGCATGATTAATGAACATCGTTCTGTTGCTCAATGATATACAAAAAACTAATATATAAAAACTTTAGAATGTTAATTCAAACGTTTTTGCTCGTTTTGTGAATCATCAGGACTAAATTTTTTTTACAAAGTTTATTGCACGATCAAAGATCTAAAAAAGTGAAAAACACGTCTCAAAATTGCCCTTAAAACTTCAGACTAATCAAATTTACAACTGTAATTACACAACAAATTACGTAATAATTATTAACATTTTACTGAAAATTTCCGAGTTTTCTTTTAAATTTTTTGTTTTGATATTTATAATATTTGCTTTGGGACTATTTTCGATTCTGCCATGTCAGTTTGTTGAGTTTCAGCCATGGTATACAAGGACTACGATTTAAGTGGTAGTTTCCGGCCCCTAAGCTCATCGCACGTGTTGATTTTTGGCCTTTTCCTCTAAATATGCAAAGTTTCTAGTATTGTCTGTTTGGTCTATAACCTCTGACTTCAATTCAGCAGAATCGCCTTCCCCATTTTTGCATTCTAACAAAGGCTGTCCTACTGGGGAGTCCTCACTGCGGTGTTCACCAAACCTTGTGTCTAAATGTCACACTGTCTGGCCGACATAGGCGGAATAACATCCACAATATGTTACTCCGTCCAACATATTACACGGGGACCGACCTTTTACCAGACCGAATTTTTACCAGAAAATTTATAACATAGACTTTATACCAAACTCGATGAACAAAGTTGATTGATAGATGTATTGACGCAATTTAATCTGGTTAAGGACATTGTTTTCACGGTTTCTCAGCAAAGTTTTGTTCGTTCCAACCAATTCTTTTTCGAATCTTCAACTTTAATTTTCATTTTATTTAAATTAATGCATATTGGTCTGGTAAAGGCGCCATTCGGTCATATTTGGAAGTTTGATCTTGAGCAATGCTAAAAACGTAATTTTGGGGCGGAAAGAAACTTTTGAAAAGTTCGAGTTGAGCATGTCATGCTCAAGTTTTTCGCGACAACTAAAAATATCAGAAAAATAAGATCAGAAGAGCCAAACTACAATCGCGGGAAGGTAGTTAAAAAGCAGCGGGAAATTGCTGTTTGCAATTTCCAGACATAAGATCGTTCAAGAGTAGAGCTGTCTTATTCTTAACAGAGGGCAGAGTGATCGCTAGCAGAGAAGAAAACAAATAAGAAGTGGACCAGAGTGAACCTTCGGTGGTAAGGTGGAGAACTGAAGTTGCCCAATGGTTCAGCCCCAAAAACCTACTTTTCAAGTCAAAACTAATTCATTTAAAACTCCTCGTGTTAGACTTGATTACCCCATTTACTCTCGAGTTACATATTAATTTAGTTACTTAATTCTAGAGAGTGTGCCGGTATGTGAGTACCCAGCTTAAACTTCTTGAGTGTGTTTTATATTGTTATGTTGAGGTAAGGAGAAGTTTAGGTTGATCCATCTGAAATGGATCAAAATCCACTGTCTAGTAAAAGTAACTATACGGATTGTTCCGACCCTGTTTTTAACGGCGTCCGCGTGTTTTACGTATTTGAGACCTAAGTATGGGGATTTTCTTGTTTTCTATAGTGGGGGGTGTTTTAGTAGTGGCCTTTAAGCAGTAACAAAGGTTTTAGTCTCATGTCGCAAGTGAACCGAATTGACTCCTACCGCTTGAGGTAGAAAAACACAAGAGATAGTGTCCCTGACTCTTGAGATGGTTAATAGGCCTATTTTTCTTTAACCTCATATAAGATTTAAGTAGGCGACTGTTACATAGTGTTTTTATGGCGCTCCTGGGTGTTTTTACGACATCAAGACTACGGGATCAAATCCACTTGACACAGCTCCGGGCTACATGCCCATTCTAGAGTACCGGTGGTGCGGTTCAACGGGAACGTATTCATCTTTGGTTTTACCGCGTTAGCTTTTTAAGAAAACCTGAGAAAGTTTCCTGGTGCGCTTTTCGAACGAGGCCTAGCTAACCGAGTAAGGGGGTCACTAGGGGGACAAAAAACAAGTAAAAACAAAATCAAAACAAAAATCAAAAAAGATTAGAAACAGGAACAAAAAAAAACCACAAAACATAAAAAGGACAGTGGCTTTGACTTCCAGATTAGGTGGATCAACTTTTATTTTAATTAAACTAGTATACCTATACAGTTTTTCAATAAGAGCGATCGTCTCAATCAAATCAGCAACGTTTTACAGGTGCCCAAGTGTGGGGCGTTTTAGGGTTTTCAGAGAGCTTTTGTGAAATCAGCGGACTACTGGGAGACTTGGCTGGAAGAGGTTCTCATCGAAGTGGGAAAGTGCATATAGGGAGCTTGAATACTGGGAGACTTGACTAGAACAGGTGACCAGCCCAGGGGGAAAGTGTGACCAACTGGCAGGTGATCAGCCAGCAGTGTGATCAAAGCAGAACAGAGCAAACAGAAGGGGTCGTACAGAGGTTCTGTTTGGTCAAACGGGTATCGTTAAACTCCACTTTACATTTCAGGAAAAAGGTGTAAAATTGGATACGCGAATACCCATTGTTTTGAGGAAACGTTTTTACTTGAGCAGAGCTTGGAGGGTTGAGCATTGAGGGTAATTTTCGGCTTAAGTGCGGGGGGGCTAGATAGGGGGGAAGTTAGAAGGGTGCTGGTTAAGATGGAGGTTGGCGTTTGGAAATTGTAAAAAGGGGGGACACATTGTGGTAACTATACAGCCGATATCGTCGATTTAGCTACATTAGTAGACCCAAACTCTAAAACGATCCATCTTTAGACTGATAACAAGAGTTGCAACGCTAGGAAATCCAAATTTAAGATCAAACTAAGGCAGGTAACCTGGTCGGATCGGGTGGGGTGATCGGAAATAGACAGTTTTTGGAACCCAAAATGAAAATACCCCATAAGACCGCTAATAGGGGGGAGGAAAACGGGTGACAATCAGGTACTAGACATTTTTTTACGAAAGAACGATATTGGTCGCCCTTGAATTTTGGGTGTACTCGTCTTTCTGTTTTTATCATTTATCGGCTTTTGACAAATAGGTGATCATAAGACACTTGCTAACAAGTCGTGTTTCGACTTGCATCGGATTAATAAAGAGAGGTAATTTCAGGGGGGCTAGTAGGTAAAACTTTTGGTTAGTAAGATTGGGTTTTGGAGAAATTTTTTAATACTAGAGCTCAAGTGGCGGTACGGTGGATAGTGATCTAAGTATCCCAACACCGAAGAACAAGAGATCCGACTGTCCCAGCACCGAAGAACAAGGGAACCGACTGTCCCAAAGAAGCAGGGATCCGACTCTCCCAACACTTGAGCAGATACTTTTGGAACATCACGAAATGTCCCAACATTTGGACGAAGGGTCTCGGGACAGTGCGAAGTGTCCCAAAACTTGAGCAGGTAGTCTTGGGACAGCACGAAGTGTCCCAACACTTGGCCGAAGGGTCTTCGGACAGTGCGAAGTGTCCCATCACTTGAGAGGGTGGGTCTTGGGACAATGCGAAGTGTCCCAACACTTGAGCTGGTAGTCTTGGGACAGCACGAAGTGTCCTAACACAGGACGAAAAAGTCTTGGGACGGTGCGAACTGTCCCAACACTTGAGCAGGAGGTCTTGGGACAGTGCGAAGTGTCCCAACACTAGAGCAGGTAGTCTTGGGACAGCACGAAGTGTCCCAACAATAGGACGAAAGGTCTTTAGACGGTGCGAAATGTCCCAACACTTGAGGAGGAGGGTTGAGACAGTGTGAAGTATCCCAACACTAGAGAAGAGAGAGGCCATGGGAAAGTGTGAAGTGTCCCAACACTTTCGCAGGAAGTCTTGCGACTGTGAGAAGTCTCCCAACACTTGAACAGGGAGGTCTTGGTACAGTGCGAAGTGTCCCGACACTTGAGCAGGAAGTCTTGGGACAGTGCGAAGTGTCCCAACACTTGAACAGGGAGGTCTTGGGACAGTGTGAAGTACCCAAACACAAGAAAAGAAAGGTCTTGGGACAGTGTGAAGTATCCCAACACTCAAACAGAAGGTCTTGGGACAGTATGAGGTGTCCTAACACTTAGACGAAAGGTCTTGAGACATTGTGAAGCGTCCCAACACTAAAAGAAAAAGGTCATGGGACGGTGAGAGGTGTCCCAACATTTGAGTGTAGGGTCTTAGGAGGGTTAGAAGACGTCCTGGGATAGTTTGAAGTGTCCCAACACTTGAGTAAAGGCACCAGGGCCCAATTAGAACGACCAAAAACAGCTAAAAGTCCACACTATTGAGATTATGAACTCGAATGGTTTTTTCTTACAAGAATTAGGAATATTTTTATTTTTTAAATTTTAGAATAGGAACTTGTACAAATTAGAGTTGTAGAAAAGAAAAATTGTTAAAAAAAATTGTGAAGAAAACCAGAGTATCACTAACTGAAAGAAAAGAAAAAAACTTGGGACGGTGCGAAGTGTCCCAACACTTAAGCAGGAGGTCGTGGGACAGTGCGAAGTGTCCCAACACTAGGACGAAAGGTTTTTGGACGGTGCGAAATGTCCCAACACTTGAGCAGGAGGGTTGAGACAGTGTGAAGTATCCCAACACTAGAAAAGAGAGGCCATGGGAAAGTGTGAAGTGTCCCAACACTTGAGCAGGAAGTCTTGGGACTGTGCTAAGTCTCCCAACACTTGAACAGGGAGGTCTTGGGACAGTGCGAAGTGTCCCGACACTTGAGCAGGAAGTCTTGGGACAGTGAGAAGTGTCCCAACACTTGAGCAGGGAGGTCTTGGGACAGTGTGAAGTACCCAAACACTAGAAAAGAAAGGTCTTGGGATAGTGTGAAGTATCCCAACACTTAAGCAGGAGGTTTTGGGACAGTATGAGGTGTCCTAACACTTGGACGAAAGGTCTTGGGACACTGTGAAGCGTCCCAACACTAAAAGAAAAAGGTCATGGG